AATCTTATTTGTGTTGGTACAGTTGATGTAATTTGAGAAATCAAATCCTACCCTGTGGTGTTTGCTCTGCTAGAAATTAAGTCAGTAACAAGGCCCTGGTCCTGCCTTTAACCCTGTAAGTGAAAGGTTTCTGTGCCCATGTATTGCTGTGCTGACTGCAATGGAGTATTTATGATAGCAGGATCAGGGACTTGCTTTTAATAAAATAAATGGAATGGAAAATGTGTTGAAATAAAGCATTGGAAACTCACTGACAATTCTGAGTTGCAATTCTTCCCTTTTAAAGGGCTCATTGCTGCTAGGCTTCAAAATATGACTGCAGACCCATGTCAGAGCCAGAGCAATGCCCTGGGTGGTCCATGTCACCACTAAGCAAACAACAAGGGAATTTAGGTCTAGCATAACCCTCTGCAACCAGGCTCCAGCAGCTGAAGCAAAGTTCCCTGAAGTGAGTGGACATCTCACCAACAACCTCACTTTCAGCAGACATTGGAACAAGTTCTGAACTTATGTGGTATAGTCTGAAATTTGCTTTGATTTCTTCCTTGATCAAACCCATCTTTAATACCCCAAGTATGTCTGTATTTATGATTTGCATGTAAACATGCAATACTTCTGCTACTGGTTCTGAAGTACAGGATAGACTGCAACTATTAAATATGACTGCACTAATGTGTTGTATCTGGCATTGATTACAAAGGCTCATGGTCATTGATTACAAGGTTATATGGTCACAATGATTGGTCTCTTATGCCCTTTGTTGCCTGAAACCACCTGAATATTGATCCCTGAGATACCATTGCTTTCAACTAAAATGTACCAGGTTTTTCCTTTCAGGAGAGAAAAATAACACACATCCAGGACTCGAACAAGTTATTAGACCACAGATGTTCTTCCAAACAAATCCACAGACCCACGCTCTCACTCAAGGAGCCACTGCCTAATTAACTTCTGCAGAAGGGACCCCTTCACACATAAGCCACCCCATCCTGTGCACCTGGCACTATGCAGCCCACTCTCCTTTTATTTTGCTTTTCTCATCTTGGAAAGGAGTGAGCGTTCAGCCTGGAAATACTTTCTCCTGGGATATGGGATTGGTCTCCCTCTTTGTCTCTCCTCCAACTTGTGCTCTATATTTTATTCCTACTACCCTCCTTGGCTCTTTTGAGTGATTCTTTTTGCAGACTTTGGCCCTTGTAAGTAAAAGCTTCTATTATTTTACTGTGAGATTCTGGTGAGAGGTCTCTTTTGGAGCCAGCTGTTCCTTGTTGGGTGTTCTCAGTGAGTCCAGACATAAATCATTTGTGACTCTAAGTTACAGAAGGTCTGTAAGCACAAGGAGTTTCCTTCTCATCACAGGCACAATTTAAAGAGGCTGCAGAATTACCCAAGCTTTTGTTCTTCTACTAACTAGTTAAAATATTTCCTTAAAGCACTCACTACACAGAAGAAGTGTTAAGGAAGAGCCAAATTCTGCTGGCAGCAGCTTATAGCGTAAATCCATACCAATCTTTCCAGTTTTATTTCAGTACATTGGATTAATGCATCAAAACATAAAACACAGACTTCAACCCTGGCAGAATGACCTTATCACCAGTGAAACTTTCCTGACTTTAATAGTGGGTACCATAACAGCATTTCCAGTATCTCTCGTGGCTGTCACAGGTCCCATGGTATTTGGTAAATTCTATAAAGTTTGAGCTCCCCATGGCATATGTGAATGCAAGAGAATTACAGCCCTCTTTAAGATAATTAGGGGGAAAAGGGTTCTGACACTAGACAGAAAAAACTGAAAGTGTGACTCCAAGGTTCAAACCAGGGGAGATAAACAGGACCCAGTTAACTGTGTTTATAACTCATGGCTTATAGGTCAGAACAGCTGGAGTATTGTTGAGGTGCCATTACATTAGGGTTGACTGGCTCAGTGTTTAGACACATGTGTGGGTTAAACGTGGTGTCTAAATATCATGAATATATATTTTAGGGGAAAAAAGGTAAGAAATAGAGTGTAAATTGGTTTTGACTCCAGTGGAAGACTTCAGAAAAGCCCAATGGTATAGTAGGGCTTTAGGACCTGTGTAAATGCATGTGTGAAGTGTCATCTCCCGAAGCGAATGGCAGTATGACAGCCAATTTCCAGCGTGACAATAAAAGCACCCTCATTCACCACTGTACCTAATGTGCCTGATCTTGCTGCCCCTTCTCTACATGTATGCTTGTCTGCAGCGTAGTCAGCTGCCAGGACATCCACTGAATTTGGTGCTGAGTTCCCCTGGCACATCAGAGGTACAGCTGCACTGCCTTTCAAAGAGGTCGTGTGGGCTGGTGTCTGCATTGGAGCCTCTACCTAGGCAGTAAGGAAGCTGACCCTCACTTGTCCAGCCTCAGCTGGTGGGGCAGTGGGCATGTCGAGGAGCAGGTGCTGGGAATGGTGCAGAGATACCCACGAGGGCTTGGGGAGGATGGGGCAAGAGCAGGTGGAATTCTTGCTCTGCTGAAGTCAGTGTTGGCATGGCCAGCATTGCCATCCAGCATAGAGAGCTGGGGGGGTTTAATCCTATGTAATTAAAGAAAACAGAGTATGAAACACGGAGGGTTTGCAACCCACTCTGTTTTCTGCTTAACTCAGGCCGCAAGTCCTTGCCTTGCTGTGATGTCGCTTCATATTGGGGCTTTAAAGTCATGAGCCATAAGCCTCAAATTAGCAGGAGATGTGCATGGTTCCTTCCTGTCTGCTCAGATAAAAGGCAATCAGGTACACCAGCTCTGTTAGAAGCAGAGCAAAGCCTCCACTGACTTCAGCATCCAAGATTTATGCTCCAACTTCAGCTCCAGACACTGGACCACTTCCACCCCCTCTTGCCCTATTTGAGAGACTTAACACACACAGGACTGAGGGTCTAAGTGGCACAATGGTGGGCTTCTACCAGTGCTTATCAGCTAATTGCAGTGACTTGAATTTTGCCTTTTCCACTCTTGACCAGTCTTCTTAACCTGCTTTTTAGCTGGGGCAAAATTAAACATGAGGAAAAAGGCTTATTCAGCATTATAATTATCTACTCCCAAGCTGTGTAACAAAATGGTTTGCACATTTAATTGGCTTTGTCTAATATTTCCACGTATACAGTAGTCCTATTGATGAATATCATAGCTTCATTACTGCATATCACATTTTGCTATGTTTTGTACCATAAAATAACGTCAGCACATCAATAACTTAAATAACACAAATGTAAACTCATTTTCTGCTTGTTATAATCATGACTTTAGCCTGAAGAGGCTTTTTGATTTGTAAGACCATTCACATAATATGGAATGTAACTTTATTTGTTTTTCTTTTGTATATAATGAGACACCGAAAGCCCTTGTCATCTCTTAACAGGATACTAAAGCAGCTCTGTTTCATGAATGACAGCACAATTAAAGCTAAAAATCATAATTTAAAAAACCCCTTTGTACTGTACAATCTCAAATTAAAGCAAGAAAGATAATGACAATCTTTTGCATCAGCCAGGAAACGTGATTCTCTGCCACTGGGCTGTTTTTTCTTGTTGACAATTCACAACATGTGTGTATGGGTGTAGTTATAGGTGTGTATATCCTATGCAGAACAGCAGTCCCTATTTTGTTGATCTAGTTATTCTAATTGTTTAGTTAAACTACCTAACTGTTACAATTTAGAATACTACATTAACACATTTAACATCAAGTTTACATACTTGCGTCTTTGAAATACTAGGAACTTTTACACATTTTATTTGGCTTTGTAAGGACTGGAATATCACAGATAATGCAATCTACTTGTCTTTGAAAGAATATGGCTGTTCTCAACTAACTCTCTAAGGTTCAGAGTGAAATATGGTTCTCATATCTGTAGCTGACTTCAGAGAAGAGTGTCTTCTTAACTGGTCAGTCTGATGTTACAGTACAGATTCTGCAGATATATATATATATATTTAATGAAGGATAATTCTCTCTGGACTTTAGAGTCAAGCAGTTGCAGCAAAATTACTTTGTTTAGACTAATTTTTCCTATACACATCTCAAGAAAAACCTATTCCACGTATGTTTTGGAGTAGAATCTCCACATGACCAGAGGAGGGCACTTTGAACATCTTTGCACTGCCCAGGAGGCAGATGCAGAAGCACAGTGTTACCCAATGTCGCAGTCCTGCCACCTCTTCCCACCCAGGCAGGCATCCTTGTGTCCACCAAAACACAGTATCCATATGGTACCACAGGGCTCTGTTCTGGAAACAGTGGGCAGATATATCACTCTCTTCTTGCTAACTAGGATTTCTTCTGATTTCCCCCATTTAATTCAGTGTTGCTGCGGGCTAAATTAAGAGTAACAGGCAATTCCTAAAAATCATGAGAGGGGAGTTGTCTCCCTTTCCTTCCTGAACATCCCTCTGCTATTAGCCCCTGGTAATTTAGCAAATATTGATTGATTTAACCCTCTATGACTTATCCTGCTGCAGAAATACCTTGCCTTTAACTGAAAAATGCACTTGGAAAATGCACTCTCTGAGATATGTATTGCAACAGTGCATCTTTTCACATTAAACTGCTGTTAAAGTACTGCTCCTTTCTGCCTTCTGAGGGAGGCGACTCTGTGTCCCAGATCTGCTCTCCTGGCAGAGCACAGAGCAGAGAAATCAATCTCTTCTCTTTTCCGTTCATGACCACAGTGTGGAGTTCAGACAGTTTCCATGCAGGAAACATCCTTTTGGGTTTCATTTTGGCTAAAGGTATCAAGCTTCTATAGAAAAGATTTTAATTCTGCAATCTTATTGTTATTGTAGACAGATTTTTTGTCACCTCTGCTTTGTTTTGTTCAAGTTTAATGCTGAGAAATTATTAGAAAGGATTTAGAAACCTTTTTTTTTTTAAATTTAAAATAAAAGTCTCTCCTCCACCCTGGGGAAACACATTGCTTATTTAAAGTACTTTTTTTTCCCCCCTCAACATTATTCCATTTCTCTTCTCTTCTCTTCTTTTTCATTTTTTCTCTTCTTCCTTTCCTCCTTTGTTTTCTAGAGAAGACAGGTACAAGAAGGAAGTTGTCTTTCATCAGCAGTCCTTTGAGATAGAGTAGAATTCAGTGAGTCCTCACCATGATAGGATCATAAACTTACTGGGTTAAACCAAGCTAACTTTCCCTAAGCTGCCAAGTTTTAGCTGCACCATACATATATGTGTTTCCTTGTGCCTTTTTTTTTTTTAACTTATAATTTTGTTTTTCTTGATGACCCTGAGCTATGGCTTCTTGTTTCTACCACTAGTCAACCTTCCTTTCTTTTCTGGTTTTGCCGATATAGGCCTCAAAGAAAAAATGGCAGAAGAGCACAAAGTAGCTGAGGTACATGAGAGAGGACCAGATGATGTTCTGCACGTGGGAATGGCACTGGCTGTGATGCATCCAGGAGAAGACCAGGTAATTGATCACGCAACCGATCAACATCTGAGTGATCTGCGACAAGGTGATGAACATGGCAAACTTGCGTGAGACTCTGAAGCCAGCAGCCCGCAAGGCATAGTACGAGTACATGACGGCGTGTACTCCATAGTTCATGGTCATGAACCAGCCACCGCCAGCCACCATGTCCTTGTAGGAATACCAAGAATAAAGTAACACAGTAATGTGATGGTACCAGTGTAAGAAGATGAGCTTCTGTTTCCTAAGAATAATGAATATTGTATCACCTGTAACAAAACAAAACACACACACACAAGAAAAAAAAAGGAGGGGAGGAAATGAGAAACATATCGAACAATTCCATAATTAATGCAGTATTCTTTTCCTTTTGCTGTTGCTGGAGTACACACTACTTTGGACCATGAAAAACCACCTCAGCTCTAGATCTGAGAGTCTGGCTCCTAAACTCTCTGCAACCTTTACAAAACCAATGTATCTACATTTTCCTGTGTGGATAACTCCTGCTTGAAAACTCCATAGGTTTACTTGGCAGCCCTTTGATAATCCATGAAAGTCTGAGGTCAGGTATGTGGATGTATGTATACCATCTCTGACTGTGAGACTGTCCATTAAATACTGTGACTGGAAGAGAAATGCAGCTTGACTGAAGGCAGAAAACCTAAAGAGAAAGCAGCACAGTGTCCTCTGATTCAAATGTCTACCTGCAAACTGAACCTAGTTAAAATCAGTAAAGCCTTTTGAGCTAATATGGTCATATGTAACCTATAACATGGAAAGGTATATGGTTGCCAGAAAGGCTTCTAGATAGAAATTTGGGTGACATTGAAATGCACATCCTCTTCTGCAAATTCATGTTAGTATTGTAGAAAAGTAAGTTTTACTTCTCTTCCCTGTTTTATATTTCCTTCTGCTTCTCATGATTGCACAGAACAGTATGTCTATAAAATTGTTATAGACACAGTGACTCCAAAAAAAAATCCCTGAGATTTGAATCTGGGGACTTATTTTGATATATATGTATCCCAGGAAATCCAAACCATGAATATTAGTCATGGGTGGAAGCAAACTGCACTGTCTGCACAAGTTCTATAATACGGCATAATGCTACTGTTTACTTCATTAGCTGCAAGATTTTAATAAGTAATCATATGTTTGCTTTATTGCTGCTGTGCAGTTCTAGCTGATGTTTCCCAGTTTTAACAACTAAATTTCTGTGGTTTTGCAGTAATTTAAGCAGCAGGAAACCAAGGGATTCTGACATAACAAGCCAACTGGTATCTGTCTCTTTCTAGATTTTATGCTGATGAACTGCTGTCCTCTAGTTTGCTGAATCAAATTCTCTGCTGAAAGGTAAAGTCTTATTTTTGCTACACACCTGAACACAGTATGAGCTGCAGCCCTCTGAGGCTTCATAAGGGTATTCTCTAAAGTAAAAGCTGGAGGATTGCTAAATTGTTTCCTGCTCTGTTCCATTAAAACAATCCTTTCTTACACTGATAAGACACGGACAAGAACACATGCAAACTGGCTACTAAGTTCGTTCCATTAAAACAACCCTTTCTTACACTGATAAGACACGGACGAGAACACATGCAAACTGGCTACTAAGTTGGCTTTGGAATGTGTATCATAAGTATCCTTACCAAAAAAACTGCTGGTGAGATAGAAGTTTATAAGAATCAGGACTGGAAAAGCCAGGGATGTAAGTATCCTTACCAAAAAACCTGCTGGTGAGATAGAAGTTTACAAGAATCAGGACTGGAAAAGCCAGGGATATTATGGGAAATTGGTTTCTACTTGGAGGAAGCAGCAGCCACAGCTTTCAATGTTTAGGGAGGAAGCACCTTACTGCTCATAATCGTACACTTAGCTGAGTATTAAAGGATGAACGCTGCAGAATACAGGCAGAACCTGACTCAGCACTTAGCTGTGTATTAAAGGATGAATACTGCAGAATACAGGCAGAACCTGACTCAAACCTTGCTGACACAGCTGCTATAGCCCACCCTTCACTTCTGCTCCCATGTAATTGGCAGAGAGACTGCCGATTACACTACTCTTACTTGGCTACAAGTAGCTCAGGAAGAGGTGTGGACCAGATTGTTTTTACATCTTGACTGCCTTGCTGTGTACAATCGCTGCAGTTTATTCCTCAGTTGGGAATGGTCTTACTCAACTGCACATTGCTCTAACTTCAGTCAGGCTGGAATTAACCTCTAGAGACTAAAACATGCATTTTGGGGTTGGTTATGTTTACTTAGTTTTCCTAAGACTTGAGATTTTGACAGCACTGAGACCCTTCTTGTGCTTCAGGCATAGGTATTTCTGCTCTAAATATGCATGGTGAGAGAAAGAGAGAGAGGGTACTCACCTAGTTCGGGTGCTTTGCTTAGCACAAATGCATATGCCCAGAATTTGCTGACAGGTCCAATGTAAAAACTCTGGTCACACACTGACTGTTTCAGGCCTTTGGTCATCAAAATGTACAGCATATAAGCACCAGTTCGAACAGCACCGAATATACTTTAAAACAAAAAGAGAAAATTAAGAAAGTTGAGCGGATGTTTGAAAATTAGATGTCATCACTTCAAATCATTATGAGAAAAAGGCCATCAATGTGCTGAAATAATGTTTGAGACAGCTTAAAAGCTCGTGCAACTCTGCTGGCTTCTAGTTAGGAAGTTACCCTGAACTCAGACTTGTAAACTGGACTGTAGCAGTATCCCCTGGTGAAAGTCTGGAATGGTAATGTCAGTGGTTTTTATTCATTACTACAGGAATGATCCTTCACTTTTCAGGAGCAGGGAGTTTTCGGGATGCAGACTTTTGATGCTGATAGCTGGAAAACTACAAGAAATGTGTTGATAAAGAGCTGTATCATCATCACAACAAGGTCCATTTCCCTCTTCTGATTTCCTCAGTCTTCTCTTGCCTCTCCCTGTGTTTCTTACATCCACAGGAGCTTTGGGCACTGACAAATCCAGGTAGGGCACACAGATTTTGATGGAGGGGTCTCAGTCAGGGCTGGTGTTTTGGTGCACATGCTTGACTTCATCTCCTAACAGGTCATTACTAACAGAGGAAACTACTAGTTGAATCAGGCTGTAAAAAGCAGATTCACCCTCACCTCATCAAAGTGAGATGCAAGGTAACAGCGTTCTGTAAATGAGAAACATTAAGAGATTTTCAACGGTATTAATCAGTGCAATTACACAGGGGATAGGTTGACATCCAGCTGATGTAAAGAACAAAGGCTTCTGTCTCAGCAGTGAGGAGCTCTGCAGAAGGAATTGCCTCATTGTTTTATGGCAAGAACATGCTTGCCTGCTGTCTACCATTGTAGCCTGTTGGCCCTTCACTAGCTGCAACGAATACTGGGTGAAGGATAAAGTAAGATATACTCAACCTTTGGGATTGAGTATATCTTACTTTATGTCTACATTACATGTCCTTGTTTCTCTACCCAGGTCCATCGTAACTCCCCTCTAACTTCTTTGTGAGCTTGACCTACCTTGGTTCCTGCTCTGCCTTGTTGTCTTTTGTGACTATTACATGTCAGCAGGCAAAATAAGCCACCTAAAACTGATGTATAAACTGATGTATAAAATGTGGGTATTGCAAGCTATCATTTATGCAAAGTTGCAAAGTATGTGAAATAAGGAACAGTTTCTCTGAAGTTACAGAGCCTCTGTTACTTGTCCTTCTGAAGTCAGTATTCTTTAAAAAACGGGTTTTGAAATCACAAGGCAGCCTCAGAAGTTGAGGTCTATACTGCTATACAGCACTTGGTCAGACTAGATAGTTCTAGGAAGCCTGCT